TACAGCTGAAAATGGAGAAGCTTTAGGCACAATTAATTTCCCCAAGGCAACGCTGCTGAAAATTGGCAAATGGCTTTAGAACCCTGACAAAACGTAGATGGTTTGAATTTTTCTGATTTTTATTTAAACGTTAGTTTTACTATTGTCTTTGCACTAGTCAGATTCAATATTTTTGACATCTGAGGCCAGACATATAATTGCTGCAAAACTTTAAAAGCGGTTTCTTTTGAAATATATCATCTGATTGAAGAGATTTTTTGATTAGCTTCTTACTGAGGATGAGAACTGCCTTTAAAAATATCTTTGCTTAATTCCCAAAAGAAAACTACATGCATTTGCATCTTATCTAGCAAAACATTTCAAGCTATGATCCATTACAGGTGAATATGTATGTTGACTTCTCACTCTGCTCTATCTATCTATCTAGCTATCTATCTATCTATCTATCTAGCTATCATCTCCACATAAGACATAAACATTCTTAAAACACTAAAAAAAAAAAAAAAAAACTTTCAAGACTTTGTCAAGCTAACATTCAAAGTTTGACTTGAAATCTTTTGCTTTTCTAGTTAAAAACTGCAGTTGTAAGAATTTCTTTGAATTCCACTACATTTGAATTCTACTTCCATATATTCAGCATAGTGATAATGATGAGTGTTTGTTAATATACAGATAATGATACGTAATATCCAGTATCCGGTTTTTACTTAAGTGACTCATAGATTTCATATTCTGTTTATTAATTTCAGAAACTGTTTTAGTGCTTTGATGAACAATCATTAAAAGTTCAGCGTAGCCTGCGTGATTCATAAACTCTCTAACAGGAACCCTAAAGCGCTCACTGCTTGATTTACTCTCATGCTAAATTCTTTTTGATTATTATTTTTTGAAGATGCATAATTTGGGGGCACAATTCAGTCCCTTCCAAATGCCTTTGCTTGAGGCTGTCTGTCTAAGACATTATGTACCCTGATTAAGGCTGCTGAGATGTTTGTCATCACATCACAGCATGACGATCGCCAGGACCCTCACAGTGAAGCAACAAGATACTTGGAAAAAGAAGCGAGAATCATGCGAGAAGAGAAAGAGAATGGAGCTGTCAGGGGGAGAAAGAGGTGTGATCTGATCCCTCACTCCTTCTGGCTGAGTTTGGAAAGAGAGCGTGATGGCGGGTGAGTTGTTTGACTAATGCTCTGTTAGCTAATGTGTCCAGACCACCCACTGAGCAGCACCCGTCTGTCTGGCTCTGATGTTGTCTTGTAAGTAGTGATGGGTGCTCAGTTGCATGAGCCCAGTACCCTCAGCCCCTATTCTGGGGAGGCATGTGCGATACTCCCACTGCTAACAGCAAGCTGGTGGGAGTCTGCTCAGGCTTTCATGATAATGTATGCATTTTTCTGCTGCTTTACACAGCCAGATGCAAGCCGCTGGTTTTTTCGTTCACATGAGAGTTTCAGGAGAAAGCAGATATTTTTGGCAAGGTTGCCACAAATGTTCTCCTCAGTCAAACTGCACAAATTGGAAGTTAGGACCACAGATAAACTCTGATGTAATATAATGCAAACTGTAAATTGCACTCTGAAGAACACAAACATATGTTGTATCTCCAGAGATTAAAATAGTAATGTCTTGTTTAGTGCCACAGGAAAACCAACTGGCAACATGAAAGTGAAATGGTTCACTGTCAAACATTATGGTGCACAGTTCTCTTTTGCAACCCCCGCTGAAACCTAGTGAACAACCTTGCTGCCTGCTACCTAGGTGGCTGCCTTCTAATGCAGCGTTCTAACTAAAATGGAAACCGATAAATTCCATACAAGTGCTCCAACATTTACAACATTTCTTCAAAATTTCGCTGACAAACAAAGGTCCATTGTCAATACTATAACAATGCATGAAGCACCGCTCACACAGAAGTCATTTTCTAAGCAAGCAGCTTTCTTTTGACCTGAACACAACTTGAACACAAGCTAAATCCGTTCAGGAAACTTTTTCACCCTTCCGCAAACCTCTAAATCACAGAGATTCCTATTGATATGACTGGATTTCACCAAGGAAATTTTGCCAAGTAGTGGTAAATGTGACAGCACCTTTATATACCTTTATGTATACATAGTCAACATTTCTTTTGCTTTGTTTCAGATGGAATTTTCTTCCGTTTTGGGGTGGATTTTTTCAAAGAGCTTGCAATGCATTGTGGGAATAATACATATATGTACATATGTATACACACAGTTCCTCATATGGTGCATCATATATATATTCTTTGCAGAGAAGGCAATTCTGCAGAGCCCCAGACATGACATGTGGGAAAAAATATTTATATCGTGGCCACAAGTCGTTCCCACAAATTACTAATTTGTCACCTCGTTTTAAGTCAATTGTGAGCATGATTTACTAATTTGATACCTCATTTTAAGTCAATTTTGAGAACAATTTACAAATGTGTTAGCTCATTTTAAGTGCATTGTGCACATGATTTACTAATTCATTCGTTGAATGATTTGTGAATAGCTTATTGCACCCTCTTTGTGAACATGCTACATCAACGGTACAGTCCTGTCATACTTTATTCATAACAGCAGCAATAGAGGTCTTTTCTCACTATGCAATAAGGGTTTGTGAAATTTATGAAATGGGTTTATGAAATCGCGGACAGGAATTAGTAAAACTTACCCACGATTTCACTAAAATGAGGTAACGAATTAGTAGAACACACTCATGATTCACTTAAAACGAGGGAACGGATTAGTAATCATGCTCAGACTTTACTTAAAACAAGGAAACAAATTAGTAAATCATGCTGATATATTAGTAAGTCGTAGGAGCACATTTTTTAATTCGTGGCCATGATATAATATTTTTTTTTCCTGCATGTCTGGGGTTCTGTACAATTCCACAAAGCATTACAAGTACAGCCATCCAAGATGCCGGACAAAGTGAGAGAAATGTCTATTGTAAATATACTTCATTATAGTATAGTACAAGTAGTACGCTATTCCGAATTCATGATAACTTAAATTGCTCACCAGTTACCATCTTATTTCGTTTGCAACACGCCCATACAGTAGAACGAAATGAGAGGTTGTCAAGACTATCAAAATTTTTCTCTAACAATATATCAACAGACGTTCACAGTAATGATTATAATACTTCAGCTAATCATTTTTGAGGTCTAAATCGCCATCCTCGAGCTGAGGTTGTCAGATTGACACTTATTTATTTGGACCGTGTTCAACAAAAATCATCGTCCCTGCGTTTATTTTTATTGATGTCGAGCAGGAAGCGGCATACGGTTGCTGGCAGCCACCCTGAATTATGAGGGAGGTGATTATAGCCCCTCTCTCACTCTCTCCATAGACAAAGATCAGTGAGACAGAGAAAGACAGCTCTTGTAATCACTCTTAATAGTCTTGTTGTTTGTGTGAGTGTGCGTGGTAATGATGTTGGCACTTCAGCATGGGCTCACAGGGGACCCACTTTTGTTTCATCATCTCACTGCCTTTCAAATGGCACCACAACAGGTGCCTCTGTGAGGTTCCTAGTCAGTTAATGCATTAAATTAAGGCTATGGTCTTTTTTTAGCATCCTATATCATTGCTTAATCACACCTATGGATCTAATGACCGTAAATTGACCTAAAGTGGACCAATCACTCTAATGTACTACAGCTTTCTCAGGATTCCATGTTTATGGCCTCATCTCCATGTTATGATCCTCATAAAGTTTCTCATGATGGCTCAAAGTGCTGTCTGCTAATTTAATGATGTGAACCCTCTTGTTCTTTCGGCATCAACGTCTTGTTGTTTTATATACTTCTCTGTTTCATTGTGTGACCTGAACAAGACTGAGCATCTAACCATTTGAGTGATGTTAGCATAGTCAGAGCCACATTGATATTAAGCCAGTTCGGCATGCCAAGCAAATCAAACCTAAAACGGAGAGGATATATGACATGGGAAATTCATACTCAGTAGAATTAGAGTGATTCATTCTCCACGAAAAATTATTCACCCTTTTATTTTTGGAAAAAAGCAATGATGATGTCCAAGGAAATTCATGTTTCCTCTCGCTGAATGCAATAAACTATTTTTATGTATTAGTTTTATTATATGTGACATTTTCTGGCCCTTTGACCTGAATCATCTCTTCTAGAAGAGTAGAGTTCTAAAAAGTTCAGGAGGAGCAAGTTCATCTAATTCTGGCAATCATGATGAAAGTGTATATAAACAGCTGCTTACGTCAATAGCATGGTGATTCGTCTGGCATCTCAAATACATTTATTTCTGTTCATTTATAACTAAATTCATTAATAAGTAGTACGGGAGAACATGCCAAGTCTGTCTACCTACATTATATACTATATGAACAGGTTAATGTGTAACAGTTTGAGGAGGAATCATTGGTTAGAGAACAAACTAATCTTAGTGACAGAACTTATTTAAAGAGACTTTCATTGTACAAAAAAAAATGAATATCTTCTGTGGTCCTTTAAAAAAAAGTCATACAGGTTTGGAATGACATAACGAGGGTGAGTAAATGAAAATGATTTTCAAATGCTTAAATCCTGAGGAATACTTAATGACAAGCTGTAATGTAAATACAAATGGATAGGTGCCAGATTACAAAGCATGTGGTATGATTCAGTGCAGCATGTTCTTAATTTCTAAGCAGTGTGATTAGTTTTCATCACTGTTCTAGTTTAAAATCTATATGGTAATTGTATATTCAGCACATTTAACCACGGCCATTCAGAACCCACCTTCAATACAACCGGTCATCAATTACATGTCAAGAGCACCTCTGGCAATCTGTAATCAGATTGATTCACACACACACACCATGAAGTAGCATCTTTTACACAATAATAGCCACTATGTGATGAAGAACCGAGCTGGTGCATTTATTACCATATACATAAGAATTTAAATTTTACTTGGAAAGTAAAAGGTCTAGCATGCAGTTCTTCACCTGTTACTGACGCACTTGGACAGACTCACCTCTGCAAAGCATGAACAACATAAGCCCAGCTGGGCTGAGACGCAGCATCTTCAGTTCCTCTGAAGTTAGTCGGGGATGGAGAAGGGCACGGGTCGGTGTTTTTCCACCGACAGGTCTTCCTTAAGGTCTACAGGACGATAAATACAACCTTCATCTCTTTATAAGCAAGAAACAGGGTCGCTTCGCGGTTATATGTTTTCCCCTCCACGAGTCTCAAAATGAGTCTCTCCCGCGGTGCCGTTACTAAATGTTGTTGAAACAGCCATGGTCTGTTTCGTGGGTTTTATGTCTTCTGAAGTGTCTGAGAGGCACCACAAACATTAAAATTATTGAAGTGCCATCCCCTGAAAAGTCACAGATTTGTAGTTAAAAGCAGTGTGACACCACAAGTGTCTTAAAAGCAGCCTGGTAGTCGTCGATGTGTGATCGGTCTAAATAAGCCTCAGCTGTCTGGAGAGTCTCAGAGGAAAGTTGAGCATCGCTCGTGAGGCTCGGCAACGCTTCATAATGATGTAAAATCCACTGTAATGCCAAAAGGTGCGAGGGGTTACAAAGTGACTTTTAAAAGAGGATATCTGTGATTAAGAAACATTTAGGAAGGTTTATTTAAATAAGTCCTCAATTAGAAAAAAAAGAAAGACGATTACAACGGCAATATAGCTAGTATAAATACCCCGGGCTTCCACAGTTATTAATACACTTTAAAAAAAAATGAAGCTGTAGTCCAGCCGTCGGTGTGTATCGCCCGTCGCAGTTTTGATGCCGAAAAACAAGCCATGAACTTCAACAATGTGAGGAAAGAAGTAATAAAACTAATTTGTATTGTGAAGATGCGCCTTTCTCTTATCCATGGAATCCACAGTGAGTATCCCTCGTGCTTTCGTCTGCTCTTCGGGTTCCGCAGCGACAAGCACAGTGAGTCATGATACTGGTGCTCGTGCTCGCTCTCTCTCTCTCTCTCTCTTTCTCTCTCTCTCTCTCTCTCTCTCTCACAAATGCTGCTCAACTGGGATGTTGGCGTAAGAATTTCAGTTGAAACGTCAAAGTACTTTATTTGCACGATTGTTGTTCATACAATATTGTTAAAGCATAAGAGGCAGAAAAAAAGTATAATAATAATAACAATGTAGCCTACCCTACAATAAAATAATATGCAAGAGCCAGCTCCATTTGCGTTTATATGAATAGTTTGCTAGCGATGTGTAGCCTACTTGTTGATGCATGAACCCCGAACAAGGATTTGTGCTTGTAAAACACACCTGTTGTAAATGTGTTTATTGGCCATCGGCAGTAGATTAATCGATTAATATGTCTAAAACCTGCGGAACGATGAAGCCTTGATGCTAAAGATGGAAGGTATTATAAGCATATGTTACAAATGTTTCTATCCCATTGTATGTGAGTTATTGTGGTTATATTATAATAAGAGTGATGATGCAGGTTTTAATGTAGCTATTGACATATTGGACCTTGGACTATGAATTGAACTCAACAAGCACGACAGTGCCCTCTAGTGGTCAAACACATGTCCATGAGATTAAGAGTGCTGCAAAAGGCACAATATTTGAGTCTAGAGATACAGTCATGGCCAAAAGTTTTGGCAGTGATATTAATTTTGTGTTTTGCAAGGTTTGCTGCTTCAGTATTTGTAGATTATTTTTCCACATGTTTCTATTTTATACTGAAAATCAATAAGCATATCATAAGTTTTAAAGGCTTTTATTGGCAAAAAATATAATAAGTCAATATTTACAGTGTTGATCCTTGTTCTTCGTAACCTCTGCAATTCACTCTGGCATGCTGGATATTAGCTTCTGGGCCAAATCCTGACTGATGGCGATCCATTCTTGCCTTATTAGTTCTCAGAGTTGATCACAATTTTGTGGGCTTCTGCTTGTCCACTCGCCTTTTGAGGACTGACCACAGGTTCTTTATGGGATTGAGATCCGGGGAGTTGCCTGGCCACGGATCCAAAATTTCAACGTAATGATCTTTGAGCCACTTCTTTATCACTCTTGCTTTGTGACATGGTGTTCCATCATGCTGGAAAATGCACGGATCATCACCAAATTGCTCATGGATCTTTGGAAGAAGTCGATCTTGCAGGACATTTTGATACCATTCTTTATTCATGGCAGTATTTTTGGGCAGAATTGAGAGAGCCCACTCCCTTGGTTGAAAAGCAACCCCACACATGGATGGTCTCAGGATGCTTCACTGTTGGCACGTCCCAGGACTCATG